ACGCTCCGGTAACCACCGAGCTTCATTCTCCTCTTGTGAAAAAACACAAACATGTCCTCGACCCCATATTAACACAGGATCGGGACCCTTCCATAATCCCGAGCAGGGATCTTTCCATTTCGCATTACCCTCAGCTAAAGGACCAGGAAGATTGGAGAGAGCTCTAATATGGCCCACAAAGCATGGCAGCTTTCTTTTGTGGAATAGCATCTTGAATATATTGAAACATTTTGACTTGGTTGTTGTTAGTTCCAATATTTTTACTAATCAAAGGAGTCAAGAACATAGATGTTCTTTCATGAAACATATCCTTCATTAGCTTACTCAAAGCATTTTCAGGATTTAGTATTTTCACTTCATTAGCTTTAACTCCTGATATTATTAGCAGCTGTAATATTTATCATTGATTTTTTTACAAGGAACTTTCAGGTGAAGCAACTCTTTTGTAAGACAGCTAGATTTTCTGAAGTTTGTTTCCCATCTATAAAGCAGTCATTTCTTTTTGAATGCCTGTTTCCTTGTCTCCTTAATTAGATTTGCAAAGGAATCACTCATTGCAGGCAGTTTGTTCAAAAGGCAAAGAACTTTTTTAATTGCAACATAAGTTTCTTCATATCTAAGAAAACATTCAGTGTATAAACTGCTCTCTTGCTTTCTTAAGGATTTTAAAGTGGCTTGTTTGCTCTTAAAGGTAGCTTTTTGTCTTCCAACTACTGTAAAAACTTTGCACAGCTATTAGGGTAAATAAGGGATTTTACCAATGGAGCCCCAAACCAAGAAGCACCTAGCTCCGTATCCTTTCAATTTTTCATTGGAACTGACACTTAAACTCTTAGATGTTTTTCCTCCTTATTCTTTTAAAAGCTGTATTTTAAGTTTACCAGGAACGTATTTTCGAGCTGACAAAAAGTGTTTCAGGGCAATGTCGCCATCTTTAGCGGAAAAACTACCTTTCCCAGAATGCATTTCCCTTATATCAGTCCATAATAATATCAGTCCCTTTATATCATTTCCCTTATATCAGTCATTTCCCGTATTTTTTTGGGGTCTGAGAGTCAACTGGTTCTCTTTTACCAGACTTGCTTACAAATTCTTGCCCGGGAGGTTTGAACAAAGTTCTTTGCTTTTGCAATGGGAGATTTGAACAAGCATTTTACATTTTCAGCTTTGCCACGTTGGGAGATTGCCATTCTCTCCTCAGCTGGCTTCAACAGGTGTTTCTCCTTCATTTAACACTGGCCCCAGATCAGAACTGCACCTGCCTCGTTAGCGCGCATTGAGGTGGGCAATTTCTGATAGCAACTTTCCTCGGGGCTTGTGTTTGTCTTAGCCAGTCAGTGAAAAACAAGATCACATACAACAGCTTTTCCATAGCTCCTTCAGAGAGATTTTCTCCCACTGATTTTATTCTCATTTTGCTTGTTCCTCCCTTCCCCAGATGCAGAGCTTCAGGTATCTGTCTGTGGCTCTGTTCCTCTGCTAGCTGCCTTTGGAGGTAGGGGCTTTTTTCTCTCCCCAAATCTGCCTTAAATTCTAGCAGCTTTTTCAGGTCATATATTTCTGGGGAGGATTATGTCCCTTCTGTTTCTTCAGAGTCTTTCTCCCAGACAGTTCCCAGTTTGGTCTCAGTTTATCCCCTCTACCCCAGAAACAGTTTCCGACACTACAGTGATGGCTTTCCCAGCCACTGAAGGTAGGGGCTTTTTGTCTGTTTCTGTTTTTGGGGTCTGTGTGGTTTGCGTACAGACTGAAAATCTAGCAAGGGAGGTTTTTGCCATTTCTAAACTCCCATTAGGACAGGTGTTTTGCTTCATCAGGCCTTCACCTGGCCCAGTCCCCCAGTGGGTTGCATTTGCTTGTCTGGGTGCTCAAGGACAGAGCTTATGCCAGAGGCAATCACCCCTCAGGGCTACACTCCCTCATTTCACCAGGAGTTAGTTGAAACAAAGCTTTTCTCAAAGAGATGCTTTCTCTGACAGAAAAGAAAGCTTTACTCCTGGATAGTTCTGTTCTGCCCTGGCTGGGCTCTTTCCCCAGACAGCGTTCTGACTCAGCAGCACAACTGCTTCAGACACAGTTCAGCTTTACTGTTTTCCCAGAAAGGTCCTTACTCTGATAGGAAAGCTTTTTCTCAGATTTCCTTTTTACAGCTGTGGATCTATCAACCCGGGACTTGTAGGAAAGTGGATAACTGTGCCGTTCCCACCGGCTTTAGCTTTGGTTGTTCATTAGCAATCTTCCCCTGGGTCCTGCACCTTCCTGCCTCAGCTCTGTGCTCCAGGAAGTTTACCACTGCAGGAACCCTAGTATCCCTGAAATGCACTCCAACTCAGAGACGCTGGCCAGTCGCCTCTGGGTTTTTGGTCAGAAGCAAGGATACAATGCTAACAATTTGCATGCTTCAGGGGATCTTTGCATTAGGACAATTAGGAGCACCTTTTCATTCTGAAATGCTCAGAAACAAAACCCTTGTTGCCTCAGCTGGGCATAACTGAAAAGCTTGGCTTTTTTGCTTTTCTCAGGTAGAGTTTCAGGCCCTTTTGGGCTCTCTGTAGCTCTTTACCCACACTCTCCCAAGTGTTTCCCTCAGGGTACTCTGACCCACTGTCTTCTACTAGTTTGAAGAGACAGCTTAGAAAAGGTTTTTAGAAACTTGTCCCTGCCTCCTGCATTGCAGGGAGGATTTTTAAAGCTTGAAAGAGAACTTAGGTTTTGCTGTCTTAAGAGGTTTGTTGTTTTCCCTTTGAGCTAATCACAGGTGGTCCCCATACTAATATCTTCAGGTGATTCTAATTTTTGTCCTTCTGAGAAAGTTAAAGGCTTTAGTTTTTAAGTTTGAGAGCTTTTAGTTTGAGAAAGATTAAGGCTTTTTTAGAGAGATTTTCCCCCAAAATTTTCCAAGAAAAGCTTTATAGTTTGAGAAAGATTTTTTCCCCAGGAGGAAGACCAACTTTTCCCAAAACTTCCCAACTTTAAACTTTTTGGCTTTTTACACCCCCATTTTTGCCTCAGGGAGAAATCACTTTCTCCTGCCGCTTGGACTTAGCATTTCAGCTGTCCCCCAGGTCAAAAAGCTTCCATAGGAAACTTTTTCTTCCCCATAAGCTCAAAGAAGAGCTTTTTTACTACCCGTAAAGCCCAAAGAAAGATTTTTTCCCCCCCAGTTTGCATTCATAGCCCCCAAAGTTAGAATATTGGAGAGTTTTTCTGTCTAGTTGCCTTATTTTTTCCTACACAATCTTAAACTTCTAAGTTTTTCCTATACTATATTACTACCCTATGCCTTATACTTATTTTTCAGATAGAAATTGAGAAAGGGATAGAAGGTAGAAAATTTTGACAGAAGAGAATTTCGCTGCAGCATCGGACATCCTTCCAGTCCGCTTTCCTTTTCTCTCGAGGATAAAACCCCTGCCTCTCAATAATATATATAAAATATATATTTTCCATAACACCGGCATGCCTTATCCACTGGCAGGGCTGAACTCAGCACTTTCGCCAAAAACTCTGTAATAAAACTATTATTTTCCTTTATCTTTAGTCCCTATTACTTTCTCTTTAGTCCCCGTTCATTTGTATTTAGTCCCCCCCTTTTTTAGGCGCCCTTTTTTTCTTTAGTCCCTGTTCGTGGCGCCATTCTGTGGGGCGTTTACCCAACCACCCCCACAGTTCCCCAGAGTTTTCTTGAGTGCGAGCAGCAGGAAATATTAGATAGAAGGATTTATTGCGGAGAATATCACGGAAATAAACAGATAGAAAATAAAGGATAGCCTCGAGAGGGCCTGGAACCTATTCCAACGGCCCCGACTGTCTCTGCCCCAGGGTTTTTATAGAGATGCCAAGGGGTGGAGCAAAAGACCTCCTCCCCCAGCACAGCCAAGTGCAGACCATCCCAGACACCTGCACTTAGGCCCGTGGTCTAATCATCCTCTATGCGGACCTGCTGGGTAAAGCCATGAGGAACCCGAGAACGGGCTCCCACAAAATGTGCCCTGAGGATTTAAAAAATAGAATCTGTGAAAAAATGAACACCAGTACATGACTCGGAAACAGTCCTGTATTCTCCTCTAAGGGAAGCCTTTTGAAAGCACTGCCTCTTGCCAAATGCCTATTTTATTTGATTTACTCCTCAGCAAAACCCTAGGAAGACAGCAGTGGCTGTGGGTGATGGAATCAAGGTATTAGGATTAAATTGAATTAAATCGGTACAGTAGTAGCATTAAATTTAGTACCTGCATGCTAGGCAGTCACTGAGTTACACCCCAGTCCCTATTTCTGTTTTGTTATTATTGTTGTTGTTTGTAACAAGAATTTCTAAATGGTCTTAATAAATAAATAACACGGAGCCAGAAATTTGGATTAAAGTCTGAGAGAAAGATCTGAGGAATAGGGCAAACTGTGAGCTAACCTCACCTTGCCAAGTCAGCAGCTTTCAAAGAAAGCTTCTTCCTGTATACTTACGTTTATATGTTTCTGTTCTGTTCTCTTATTGGCTCTTTTAGCCCAGCTACATCACTTCCTCTTCCTACACAGCTCTGTCACTTTCTGTCTGTCTGTACAGACCTCCAGACCTCTGTGGTTAGTACTGGGATTAAAGGCATGTTTAATACTGGGATTAAAGGCGTGTGTCACCACACCTGCCTCCATTCCCTAGTGTGGCCTTGAACACACCTGTGCTACAGCTCCCTGACTTCTTTACTTATAATGGCTGGCCTTTTTCCTCTGATCTCTAGGCAAGCTTTATTTATTAAAGCACAAATAAAATATCACCACATTTCAGCACAAATAAAATATCACCACAGTTGTTGTTTTTTCATTTTGAAATGAGCAAGTTATAAGAAAAGGAGCTATTTTTAATTTTTTAAAAAGCAAGATAGAAATATTTGGAAATTATAATAATGGTATACGCTTCAACTGTAGTCTCCCCATTAGATGACTACAAAGTACTTTCTAGAGATTTCCTATCTAATTATCTTTACTTTTTCATTTCATAGGCCACATTCACACTTGCTTTCCTGGGGTTATTGTCAGTTGATCCTTCTTCTGATTAAACTTCCTGCAGACTTTACAACCAAAGAGAAAATGACTGACATCTGTAAGTCCTATGGGTAAGTGAGGATGTTTACATATGCTGGTCTGGAGGTTGAGATCCACAAATAAGCTTCTAGTCAAGGTCCAGCATTGGTGTGCTTTATTATGCAAGGATTCAATATGATACTTAAACATCAATGCACTTTTTTTTAACACTATAGTTTTTACTTTCTGTGTATGGCCATTTTGCCTACATGAATGTCTGCACTACAGAGGTCAGAAGAGGACATCAAGACTTGCTGGGACTGGAGTTATAGACAGTTGTGAGTCACCATGTGGGTGCTAAGTGGAACCCAGGTCGTCAGCAAGAGCAGCCAACAATCTTTTTTTGTTTTGTTTTGTTTTTTTGAGACAGAGTTTCTCTGTGTAACTTTGCACCTTTCCTGGAACTCGCTTTATAGACCAGGCTGGCCTCGAACTCACAGAGATCCGCCTGCCTCTGCCTCCCTAGTGCTGGGATTAAAGGTGTGCGCCACCACTGCCTGGCTCAGCCAGTGATCTTAACTCCTGAGCCATCTCTCCAGCCCTATGTTTTAAGTGATAGTAACCATTATCTTTCTTTGAAATTTTATTCCTGTATTGTAAGGAGAGGATGGCCCATGTGAGTTCTTTGTATTCCTTCTGCCCAGTTGCTAGAGCCAGTTAGTTCTCAGGCCATTACATATTGTTTCCACACCAGTTAGAATAGATAAAAGATTTGCAAGAAGGGGGAGATCAGAGTAGGTTTTCTGGTGAAGGGCTCCGGAGGAAGGGAGATTGGGAGTCAGCCCTGAAGGCTGTGGAGTGGGGAGGGTCTGCTGAGGGAGGCAGCAGGAGGATGAAAAACTGACACCACTGATGAGAGGGTCAGTCACTGTCTGGTAGTCTTGACTTCTGCTCCACCTGAAACAGTGTCTTTTAGAGGGACCTTTGTCTTTCTTTTCCCTTAGAGGGAATTCATGCAATGGCAACTATGTGGTACTTATTTATTCATTGATAATGAAGGATGAGACTGGTGGCAGGTGGTGAGATCATGAGATACTCTTTGGACTTAAATAATAAATAGTAGTTTGTTTTATTTTTAATTTAATTTTGAGGAGGGGGCAGGTGCATGCATGTCGTCTGTGTGGAGGTCAGAGAACAGTCTTCTAGAGTTTATTCTCTTCTCTGCCCTACGGGTCCCGGGGATAGGACTTGGATTGTCAAGGTTGGCAGCAATGCCGTAACCTGCTGAATTATCTCTGGCCCTCTTTTAGACTCTCCTGAGATGATTCCTAGTGTCATCCACGAGAAAGGAAATCCTACAGGAAGAGATTGTGTGAATTATTACAGGATGAGGGGTTGGTGATTAGGGAGCCCCCCAAGGAGAAAGTCCATGGAATGAGATTTGGAGACAAACATTCTTTTTTTGTATTGAATGGTAAAACTTAAAAAGGAGGGACTAACGATATGGTTCAGGGGTTAAGAGCACTGGCTTTTCTTACAGAGGATCCAGGTTTAATTCTCAGCACAACCATCTGTAGCTACAATTCCAGTGGATCTGACATCCTCTTCCAGCCTCCCGAGGCACCAGACTCACATGTGGTACATATATGTATACATGCAGGCAAAGCAGCCATAGACATAAAGCAAATAAAATTAAAAAACGAAACTATTTGCAAAGTACATAAAGCTTTATTTATTAAGTGCACTAGATCAAGGCTCTGGAGTAGAAGTTTGTGTGATAATGGAAATATTCTACTGCACTGCCTCCTAGCCACTAGCCACATGCAATCACCAATTTTTAACTACAAAACTGATTTTTAGGGACTGGAGAGGTGGCTCAGTGATTAAGAACACTTGTTGCTCTTGCTAAGGATCTAGGTTCAATTCCTAGCATCTACATGAAGATTCACAACTGATGTAATTCTAGTTCCAGGGGATCTGATGCCCTCTTCTGGCCTTTGGGAACACCAGGCTTGTACATTATGCACATATATGTAGACAAACGCACATACAAAATATAAAAATAAATCTTGGGCTGGGCTGGGGTGGTGCACACCTTTAATCCCAGTACTTGGGAGGCAGAGGGAGGTAGATCTTTGTGAGTTTGAGACCAGGTCTACACAGTGAGTTCTAGACACTCAAGGGCTACACAGAGAAACCCTATCTCAAAACAAAACAAAAAAACCAACAAAGCAAAAAATAAATGAATAAATACATACTTAAGTAAATCTTGGGATTGGGAAGATGGCTGAGGGGTGAAGAGTACTTTCTAGAGGACCCAGGTTCAATTCCCAGCACTCACATGGCAGCTCACAACTCTATAACTCTAGTTCCAGGGGATCCATTACCTATTTCTGGGCTTGTTGGACAACAGGCATACATTTGATACACAGACATTCGTGTAGGCAAAATACCCATATCCATAAAAAATTTAAAGTTCCTTTAAATAAATAAATCTTTTAAAAAAGACTTAACACTAGCTGGTGGTAGTGCATGCCTTTAATCCCAGCACTTAGGAAGCAGAGACAGGCAGAATTTGAGTTCAAGGCCAAACTGGTCTACAGAGGGAGTTCCAGGATAGCCAGGCCTACACAGTGAAACTGTTTTGAAAAAATCCAAAAAAAATAAAGAAAAGAAAAAAGAAAAGGATTGTCTTAACAACAACAAATTACCTCTGAGTTTTAATTTTTATTTACTTTGACCTTAAGCTTTAATGACCACATGTGGCTAATATGGTCAGTGCAGTTCATGCACATCCACTGCACTTACTCCTTTTATCAACTTTGTTCCCTTTAAGTTTCTGGCCTGGATATCTGACACTCTGTCTGGAGCTGGAGAGGAGGAGGGAGGCCTTCACCAACATTGTGTATCTGAATGACATAAGCCTGATGGAAGGGGACAATGGTATGTAAATTCCAAATGTAACTCCTCATTGTGGTGTTCTGGAAGTCTCTCCTCACTTTTCAGTAAGCAAATTTGAACATTTTAGAGGTTGTCTACATAGTTTAGATAACTGTTAAAATTGTGGGGGCCTTGCCTAGTCTTTGGTATATTATGGCTTTGTTTCTATTTAACAACTGTTACTGTTTTAAGCACTATACTCCATGTTTTTACATGCTGTTGTGAGATAACTCTTGGGATAGGTAGTCTCAGAACTGCACATCTGCCTTTCATTCTTGCCCACTTTAAAGCTCTTTCTGTTCAGCAGCTAGAATGAGTCTTTAAAAAAAAAAAAAGAAAAGAAAAGAAAAAGAGGGCTGGCAAGATGGCTGAGCAGGGAAGAACACTTGGTGTTCTTGCAGAAGGCCAGAGTGGTTTCCATCACCTCATGTTGGGTGGATCATACTTGCCTATAATCCTAGTTCCATGGACTTTAACACCCTTTTCTGGCTTCTGTGGACACCTGCACACATGCTCTCATATACACATGCACGCACGTGCGCGCGCGCGCACACACACACAAAACAGTAAATTAAATCTTAGAAACAGCTGAGCGATGTAGCTTCCTCCCTGAAAGCCCTTGTATGAACTCATATACAGTTTATACTGTTAAGTATTCTCGTGGACCTGACCTATCGTCTTATCCTCACTGCACACTCTTACCTTTATGCACTGCAGCTTTTCAGATATCCCCTGAACTCAGCAGGTTCTTTGCTGTGTCCCATCATCTTCCATGTCTCCTGGGTCAGAAATGCAGCCCTCTCCCCTCCCCGCTTGCCCCTGCTCCAAGTTTAGATGTCATGCAGGCTGCATGCATGTGCCCTCCTGCCTGTCTCATTCTTTAGCTTTTGTTTGGATGTTGCTTCCACGTTAGAACCTCTCTCAGATCCTCTGAACCACGCCTGCAGTTCTATAGTTCCTTATTATTTTCCTTCATATACTTAACATGATTCATAAGTAGTGATTTGTTCATCTGTGTAAGCCTTTATAACCTGATTGCTGCAGGAGTGTGGAGGTTGATTCTGTTTTGTTCCTTGTTGCATATCCAGGAAGCTTGAGGGTGATTTTAACTCTGTGTGTTCGAAAGGTTTGTGCTGAAGTGAAGAGACTCTGTTCTTGAATGTCTTTGTTTGGTCTTAAGTGTTCTTACAGTTCTCATGTTTCATGTATGGAGCCTGTATGCGCGCTGTGTTTCTGCGTGCAGGGTGGATCCCTGAGACCTTGGAGGAATGGAAGCTTCTCCTACATCTACTACAGAACAAGAGCACGAGGCCAACTCCTCAGGAGTCACTGAATGCGAGCCTCAGTGATGGGCCTGCCCCCATCAATGTGGAGAATGTGGCACTCTTGTTAGCTAAGGCCATGGGCCCAGATCGGGCTTAGTCACTGCTACAGGAATGTGGTCTAGCCCTTGAGTTGTCTGCAAAGTTTACCAGAGCCTGTGACATCCTGAGGATCGCTGAGAGAAGACAGAGGTAATGCCAGGCTGCCGTACACTGTCTGTGGTGCCTGCACATGTAAGCTTGCACAGACTTTCAGCAGTAGGTAGATGGGAGTGCAGAGATCATGTAGTCTCAACCCCTCACTAGCACACGAGGAGACTGAGACACATCTGCTGATTATGGTTTAAATGAAGAGGCCAAAGTAAAATTTTACTCATCAGCATGATCAAGGTACTCTTCAGCTTAGTGTGAGTGTCCCACTACCATGCATCCTCAGTTCTCTAAGAATGGTATTGATACAGGTCTGTGAGCTTGCTGCCTAGTAGGCCAAGGCAGGAGAACCATGAGTTCAAAGACACAGGGGATTTAGTGAAATCCCATCTCAAAAGTAAAAAGAGGCGGGGCATGTGGCTCAGTGGCAGAGCATTTATTTATCATGCATGAAGCCCTGAATTCAATATCCAGTTTAAAACACAAAGCAAAACTATTTACTTAAATATTACACACACACACACACACACACACACACACACACACACACACACACACACACTTATTTTACTCAAGTTTTTCTTTTTCTATTTGTGTTAAAATAGATGTTGTAGAAAAAAAACAAAACAACAACAACAAACCATAGGCAAGTGTGATGGCACACACCTGTAATCTCAGCTCTGGGGCGGCTGAGACAGGAGGATCAGCAGTTCAAGGCCAGCCTGGTCTGTATAGCATTAACTACCTGTCTTTTTTTTTTTTTTCTTTTTTTTTTTCGAGACAGGGTTTCTCTGTGTAGCTTTGCGCCTTTCCTGGGACTCACTTGGTAGCCCAGGCTGGCCTCGAACTCACAGAGATCCGCCTGCTTCTGCCTCCCGAGTGCTGGGATTAAAGGCGTGCGCCACCACCACCCGGCAACTACCTGTCTTAAAAAAAAGGAAAAGAAAGAAAAAGAAAGCAAATCCATGTGAAATTTGCTGTCTAGAGCATTTAGTGATTCAGTGTGTGCAGGTTGCTGTGCAGCCAGTTTCTAGTCTATTTTCCTCTGAATTGATGGGCCAGAGCTATTAAACAGGCCTTCATTCCCATACCCCTGACAACCATCATTCGACTTTCTGTTGAGTTGGAGCATCCCAGATGCCTCATCAAAGTAGAATGATAACAATATAGGTTGAGTATCCCATAGCTAATAGACCTGGGAACGGAAGTATTCCAGGTTTCAGAGGTTTTAGATTTGAGAAGAGCTTCTCAACTGGTAGTGATGCTGAATGAATATTTGTGCTTACCAGCTTTGAAATCATCCTTGGAGAAATAGCTAAGTCTATTGCCATTTTAAAGTCAGGTTGCTAATTTAGCTGTGGAATTCCACCATATTCTAAATATCTAGATGCCTCTTACCAGGTAGGATTTGCATGTACTTTCTCCCATTCCAGATTGCTTGTTCATTTTGTTGATCACTTCCTTGTTTCCCAACACTGGGCATTGAACCCGAGACCTCATCTATGCCTGGCAACATTCCAGTTCCCGAATGATGATGTTCCCAGCTCTCTGCTGGTTTCAGCCTTTGTCTTTTATCACAGTGTTTTGAGTCCTCTTTAGTCTTTAGAGTTTTTGCTTTGCTATTAAGAATGAACTAGGACAACTGAATTTGCTTGTTTCCTTCTGTGGAATTTCAGAGCGCTGATACAAGCCATGCTTGAGAAGTGTGACCGGTTCCTCTGGTCACAGCAGGCCTAGTGGGAGATCTGTCAGGACATGGTATCATTTTGACCAAGTGGAATCCTGCTCCGGAAACTTCAGAGGACTTTGCCACAGAAGGAAAAGGGATACCTCAAACCATGCCAGGAACAGAACCTGCCATGCTGCTGCAGTTGCTCTTGCCACCATCTCCACCTTGGCACTTGACTCTTGTGGCTCTGTGACCTCAGTTTGTCAACCACAGTCGTCTCTTGGGAGAAGTTGGTCATGGTTCAGTGGCCCGAGCATGGGACTGCTCACCGCCATGTGGTGTTCAGTGCGTACACAGTAGTGATTGCGATGTTAGTGCATCAGGGAATCGTTTTCTACTGTGGCAGATCTGTTGGGGGCAGACGCTTTGCTCCATGAGGACAGATAATATTGTGAACTGGAGTTCAGTACTATTTACACTTGTCTGAGGCCATCTAGAAATTACCGAGTTAAGACTTAGAACAATGACATTGTTTAAAGAGTATTACCCAAAAGAGTCATGCACTTTTTTTTCCCTTTCTTTTTTGGAAACAGGGTCTTACTTTGTAACTCTAGCTAGCCTGGAACATGCTAGAACAGGTCGACCAGGCTGGCCTAGACCTTCGAGATCTGCCTGCCTTTCTCTGCCTTCTAAGTGTTGGGATTAAAGGTGTGTGCCACCCCCCCCCCACTTTTAAAAATTATTTTTAAAGAGCTATGGTAAGAGAAAGTCAAGCACTAATGTAAGTTATAACAAATGATGGTGTTATTTAAGCCATGTTACTAGATTGTCATTTGTGAGCCTTTACTTTATGTTGTATTGGTAATAAATGATGAAGGTTTTGTTTGAGCAGAACGTGGACATGAGATTGATTTCTGAGAAGTTTGCAGGAACATCTTGGGTAAATCCAGTGTGGAGTGGTGTTAGACATACTGAATAAGTGACCTCTTTCTTTCCCCCCATTTACACCAAGCCAGAGAAGCACACATTCTGTCGTACCTACCCATGACGTGGATACGACCTGCCCTGGTAGACTGAAGTGGTTGTCAGGGAAACAAGGCAGCACCTGGGTTTGGGGTGTGTTGGCTGACGCTGAATGTGAGACTGCATTGAGGTAATGGGAGAGAGCTCTCCCTTCACTTTCTGCCTTGGTCACTACACAGTGGCTGAAATATAGCCCAGAGCATGTCTCAAGGCAAGCAGATGCCAAGAACTGGCATGGCTGCCATCATGTCCTCATCTCCCTGTCTAGGGCAAGTTACCACAATCGTTATTTCCCAACAAGTATTCCTGGCCCACGTCACGTGAATTTATTTTCCAAGGCAAAGAAAATAAAATCCTCTTCAGCCAAACATTGACATTAGAACAGTCTGAGCGTGAGGCCGTGTTTTCACATCTGTTGTTTGCTGAAAAGTTCGAGACACACGCGATTTGTGGTTGTCTCGCTTTCAATTTTGTGTCTGGATCTGACAACTGGACCGCTACAGAGTGACAGTGCAGACAAGAGCTTGTCCTGTGAGGGTGGCCGCTCAGCCTGGGTGTATCTCCCCACTAATGATCTTGGTGAGGTACTTTGTCTCTTTTAAGTTTTGATTGTGTGGATTAAATGATAGAGAGCTTTACCATGGGATCTGGCACCTAGGAACTGAGTGTAGAGCCACCTGCCCAGGAGTAAGAACTGACACTCCATGTAGAACAGGTAAATGGGTCACTGAGATCTGCCTGCCTCTGCCTCCCAAGTGCTGGGATTAAATGTGTGCGCCACCACTGCCCACCTATGTCATAGTATTTTCAACCCTCCCATTGAGTAACATTTCATTGTAAACTGTAATATTTCATGGGTATGTGTGACCTTGTGGATATGCTTTGGGAATGCCTCGGGACTCAATCGACCTTTATGCCCCCAGGAAGCCCCATGTGCACTCACAGTAACAGAATCTGCTGCTTGGGAGAGCTCCTGCTCTTGACTTAGTGCTCTGTTTCCTCAATCTTGAAATTCTAAATGGTTTCTGTAGTAGGGCACCCGCATTTCTGGTTTTCATGGTACTCACAAATGAGGTGATCCTAAATGTCACAACAGAACTGGTGGGGATCCTGAGGTTTTGTACTTCTGACAAGATTCAAGGTGACTGATGTTTCTGGCCTTCAGATCATAATTTGAGGTGCAAGACTGCAGTGTGGTAAAACAGCTTGGAAGGAATGTGAAGTGCAGAGCTGAAGCCCGTGGTGGCTGAGATATGGGCCCTAAACTGCTAAGTGTGAGGTGCATCTGTAGGTTCCATAAGCTTCAGTATTTGGAGTTATTGTTGTCACAGCAATTTAGCCTTACCTCAGTGAAAGATGTGAGCTAGAGGAAGCCGCCTGTGAGGTGTGCAGTGAAAACAGCTCCAGGCAGAGTCAGCCTCCCTTCTCCTGCAATGCCAGAGGGTACTCATGGAATAGTGTTTCAGTTCTATGGTTTTAGAGACTGAGTTTGAACCATAGGAAAAAGGTCCCTTAGACCTCACAGTGCAAGGGTTGTACTTTGAGTCAGGAATAGGGGTGGAGAGACCAGTGTATCAATTGCCAGGACTCCAGGGGTTCCTCTTCCCAAAGACAAAATGAGGTGGTAGCTAAAGGGTATAAGGCCTGGGAGCCGAGAAGAGGGATGACAGCACTGTCTTAATTAGAGTTTCTGCTGCTGTGAACAGACACCAATAACTTGACAACTATTATAAAGGAAAACATTTAATTGGTGCTAACTTACAGTTTCAGAGGTTCAGTTTATTATCATCATGGTGGAGAGCATGGCAGTGCACAGGCAGACATGGTGCTGGAGAAGGAGCTGAGAGTTCTACATCTTGATCTGCAGGTAGCAGGAAAAGCACTGTGTGTAAGTAAATTGTTTGCAACTCTGTGGGTTTGGTCCTGGGTTTCAGCACCAACAATTAAGTAAATTGGTTGCAACAAGTCTGGGTTTGGTCCCGGATTTTGGCACCAAAACATGAGTTTTGCAACTCTGGGAAAGGTGTCCTGACTACCTGGGAGTCAGGCAACACCTTGAGATGCTTAGGATAGCTCTGATGGCTGAAATGCAAGAAGACAGTTCAGCCCTGGAGGGCAAGGTATCCTGGACACCTCGAGTTGCTCAGAACAACAGCTCTGCCCTGAAGGTGTCCTGTTTAGCACAGCTGTGACAGCTGGAACTGCTTCAGCAGAGAAAGGTATCCTGACTGTTCGGGAAAGTCAGACTGTACCTGGTGTGATGGGGATGGTCTCCTCGCAGGATATAGCAATCCTGCTCCTCTCCTGGAGAGATGCTACAGCTGAGCTTTGCTCAGCACCCACTTAAGGGGGCTTCCCAGCAGAGCTCTGCTTCTCTGGCCTAAGAAATTGCAGAAATGTAACAATCCCCTCAGGCTCAGGAGAAAAGTGTTACTTTTCAGCTCTCTCTTGCTCTGTCCACTGAGGGACGTCTCAGCAAAGATCTTCTGTTCAGCTCCCCCTTGCTCAATCCACTATGGGATGTCCCAGCAAGGTTCTTCTGTGCATCAGTGAATGAAGATTTTGAGAAAGAGATTTATTTGGAAAGGAGGAATCCAGGAGAGTAGCTGTTTTTTTTCTAACTGACCAGGCAGTTAGCTGGGGTTCTAACAGCCTTCCTGGGAAGTTGCCCCCAACAGGGCACTGCCAGGGAGGGGCAGGGAGAACCAGCCATGGAAAGAAAAGTAAGATACGTACTACTGAATCCCTTGGCAATCTAGCTGGGCTGCCACTGAACCTGTGGGAAGCAGACTTGGATTTTGTTAGTCCTAAAACTCTCTGGGGTGAGGGGTACCGGGGGTCCCAGAAACACCAGCTGGAAAGAAGCCAAGTGTACAGAAGCAGGGGTCTTATTTCGGGCTTGCCTTGGCAGCGCCCTCTTCTGGCAGAGAAGACAAATCACAGGAGGGCACGGGGGCTCAGAGTGGAATTGAGTACTCTTCAGGGGAGGAGATGGGTGAAGTTATATTTTCAGAGGAAAGACAACTGAAAAGAATAAATGAGCTGGGCATAGTGGCACAAGCCTTTAGTCTCAGCACTTGAGAGGCAGAAGCGGCAGATCTCTGTAAATTTGAGGACAGCCTGGTTTACATAGTGAGTTCCAGGACAGTCAGGACTGCATAGTGAGACCCTGTTAGAGAAAAACCAAACACTGAAAGAATAAAGGAAATGTGAACATAGAGTAGAGTAGTTCCCAACAGAACATCTCCAGTTCCTGTGAGGAGGTTCCAACAGAGGAGAGGGAGAGGGGATAAGCGCTGTCTCGGAGTTAGGACAAAAGGAGTTGGGGGCAGAATAAATGAGATTGGGGAGACAGTGGTGGCAGGGTGGCTCTGTGACCATGCTCAAAGCACTGGCCTTGAGGGTAGTGTGGCCGTGGACTTGACTCCCGGAGAGTGTAGTACTGAGGAGGCAGGTCCGTGGTCAGATTCCTACAGCAGAGAGGCCCCAAGTCGGGTTCTAGATTTTCATGAAATGCAAGAAAAGAGAACAAAAGATCAGAGAAAGGATGAGCTGTGAGACTGAATAAAGCAAGCCTTCCAAGGCTTTATAAATATGAGAGACATTAAAGTCTGCACCGTGTGGGAGAGGGTGGTTCAGTGGGTAGCACTTGTCTGAGAAGCATGAGGACTAGAGTTTGCATTCCCAGGGCCCACATAAAAGCTGGGCAGGTGTGGTAGCTGCCTCTAACCCCAGTGCCCAGGGAGCAAGGACAGAGAGCCAGCAGGAGAAGGCAAGCTGCAGCTTCAGAGAGAACTGCCTCAGTAAACAGAAGTGCAAGCGACTGAGGAAGATACCCATGCCGGTTAGTTGTTGTCAACTGTACACAAACTAGAGCCAGGAAACAGTGCTCCACTGTGGTCTCTGTTTCAGTGACGGCCTCTAGGTTCTTGCCTCTGTTTCCTTTGGTGACAGACTGTAACCTATAAGCCTGGTAAACCCTTTCCCCCACAACTGGTTAAAGTATTTATCACAGCAACAGAGAAACAAAGTAGGACAACAGCCAACATCAACCAAGAGTCTTCTGTACCTCCACACACTTGCAAGCATGAACATACACATGTCATAGGGTCACCATTGCTGTGATGAAACATCATGACCAAAAGCAATTTGGGGAGAAAAGGGTTTATTTGACTTACACTTATAATCATAGTCCATCATTGAAGGAAGTCAGGACAGGAACTCAAACAAGATGGGGACCTGGATGCAGGAGATGATGCAGAGGCCATGGAGGGGTGCTGCTTACCGGCTTGCTCATCATGGCTTGCTCAGCCTGCTTCCTTATAGAACCCAGCACCACCAGCTGATGGATGGCATCATCTGCATGGGCTGGGCCCTCTCCTATAAACCACTAATTAAGAAAATACCCTACAGCTAGATATTTTTAATTTGTGTGGGGGTTTTTTTGTCTGTGTATATATAAATTTGTTTTTACAATCAAATCAAAGTTTCCCCTCTCTCCCCTCTTCCCAGTTCCTACACCCCCCGCCCCCGCATCCACTCCCCCACTGTTTCTCATCAGATACAGGCAGGCATCCCTAGATATCAGTAAGCCATGATATATCAAGTTGCAGCGAGATTAGGCACCTCCTCTTCTGTTATGGCTGGATTCCAAAGCAGGCAACACAGTCAGAGACAGCCCCTGCTCTCACTGTTAGGAGTCTCATATGAAGACCAAGTTACACAGCCTCCTGCAGGATCTTTTGGAGACATTTTCTCCATTGAGATTTCCTTCTCTCTGATGACTCTAGTTTGTGTCAAATTGACATCAGACCAGCCAGCACAGTACACTCCCACACACCATACTCATATAAAACGTTT